AAAAGCACAATCAATTGCTCCAACATCTGATTTGGTATACCTGGCCCTTTCCGCATGGAACGCTGCCACCTTTCGGTGCATCTTTTTGTTGGTCTTCTTACACTTTGTGTTTTTCTACAAATATCTGAATCAATACACGCATTGTATTCATGGTTGAACCACAGCCGCCTACCTGGCTCTCAGCTCTCTCCTCCCGCTTCCGCTGCTCCGCCCGCCGCGCCGCTCTCCGGCGCCAGGCGTCGCGCTCCTGCGCCGTGTAGCGCCGCTGCCGGGCGCCGGTCCAGCGGAGCCAATCCTCGGGGAGGCGCGTGGTCTCGTTGGTGGCCACGACGAGCTGCTGGATGTAGGGCTTCAAGGGAGAGAAGTTGGCCTCGCAAGGGGAGAGAAGATGTATATATATACAGTAAATAAGATGGAGACCATTAGTGTTCATTCTTTTGAACCGGTGGATGATTTTTGCCACGCTCCAGTCTTGGGTAAGTAAGGTCTTGGTCAAAGATGAGTGAACAAGTACCATATTTGTGTGACACCAGTGAGGACCAAACACATTGGACATATTCTAACCATTTGGATCCATATTGCACATATTGTCCCACTGTTCCTGTGCCAGCGTGTAGAACGTCCCCAAGCGGTTCCATGGCACCCTCTGCCCCTTGGCATAATCCTTCGCTTGAACGGCCAATGAGAGGTTCAGGGCCAAGGAGTCGATGCCCTTGTCGCGAAAGGGCAAACCCAAATGCCGTTTGAGTTTGACCTTGACTGCTCAGTTCCCTCGCAACTGTGGGTTGAAGTAGATTCAGCTGCTAGCAGCTAGCACAACAGCAAACCACATTTTTACAGCAGTAGTAGAGCAGCATCTAAAGCACCGTGCGGGAGTTGAGCTATCTATGGCGATCTATTCAATTCTGCAGGCAAAATCAATCCCAAGCGGCGAAGCGGTAAGTATTTCGAATAATTTTGGTGTTTGGTGGGGTCTTTCCTGGTTGAAGTTGGAGGGAGTTACTTTTGGCCAACAGGAAAAAATCAAACAACAACCCTTACCCCTACAGGTAACTACTTCAAAAACCAGGTTACTGGCACTTGACTCCATGGGATCGTCTGCAAATCCAAGGCTGAGATCAGCTCCAACTCGATGCCTGGTGCCAAATCTCCCGCATGGATCGCCTTCCAAAGCAGCGGCAATGTGGGATGTAGTGCCCTTTACTTTGCAGGGCATACAGATCGTTGGGAATCATACGTCCCGGTTAATAACCACTGGTATCAACATGTACAATCAAAAGATGCTACCACCTCAATCCATTCAAAATCCTGTTCTGGGATTTGAAGTGCTTGGGGTGAATGGGCCATCTGAAGTAGTGCAGGAGAACTATCAGTATCAACTTTGTACAGTAGGTGCAGGCGCGCACATGCGCACACACATACACATGCAGCAGGGTGGCGAATGAATTGTGAACCTACATCTATTCCACTCCATCTACGACTTTGTCTCATATACAAATACATGATTCGAGAATTGATATTAATATATTTATATAATTATATATACTCTGAAGATTCTGAAGCAACTCTAGGCCAACTTGGCTCACATCGTCATCCTTGGCTCGCCCTCGCCTCCAGCGCCTTAGCTCGAAAAGCCGCTTGGATCCGCTCCACTTCCCGACTGCCCAGCAGCTCCGCCACATCCGCTGGCCTCGGCGAGGCAGGTGGTGTTGGAATGCCACAAGGTGTGCTGCAATGAGGTGGGCTGGTGCAGAAGGGTTGAGCAACATGTGGAGTCCAAGGATGTGAAGTGAAGCCTCCGGCAAGTGACTTCCAAGCACATCTGCGTCTTGCCATGAGAGACGGCACACCTTCCAAAGACTCAAAATGCCTTCTGTGAGCACACAAGACCCACGGTGGGTGCTACATAATGTGAAACTCAGAGCTCTCCCTGGCAGAATCCGTCTACAAACACCATTGCTCATTCTCGCCCCTTCACCGTGAAAAAGCAATTCCTCAAACATGTTGATTCATTACCACTGCCGGGGTCGGAGCGCTATCAACGATTTGACATGAATTGACCCCACAGTGCTCTTGAGTGCAAAGAATAGCTTTCACCTGATTGATGGATACTTGGGTCCTTAAGGTCGTTGTTCACTACTGAAATGCATTGTGCCAGCAAGTGCTTGGTATTCCTGTGTCTATTGTTGACCAGTTTTTATACTGATCAACCTACAGTGTTAAATGATATATCATATTGAAACATATCTTGTCAACATAGTTGAAATGACGAAGGTGACAGTATAACATGGTATGAGGTAAGGTAACTGACAAGGACTATGCTAGACTTTGACTGTTTCATTTGGTAACTAGCCATGGTTTCAAGTCCAGTTCGATCTCCTCTGCGCTAAAACCGCCGCGACCTCCTCAGGCTCCACCAGCCGGCACTCGTTCCACGCGATGGCGCTCACGGCCTGCGATGGTGCTCACAGTTGGGTCGGGCAGGGAGGCTTCAGTGCAGCACCAAAGGTCTTAGCTTCAAACTGTTCCCCTAGGTTTCCTGGCCCACCATGGATTTCATGGTTGTTACTATTAACCCAAAATAGTTTAACACATACATGTTGCATCATTTTGCACTAAAGATGTTGCACTACAAAACCGAATCACCTTTCATTGTATAATGGTCTTTTGGAAGACTGAGGTTGGAAATTCCGTTTTTTTTCCATCACCAACCTACAAGTAGTATCGCACCGGAAGAAGTGAACCCATCCACCCACACCCCCACGGTGAGGTGCCCCCCAAGTCCTGTCACCCAAACCGGACCCGTTTATCCCCCCATGCCACGAGCGAGTGACCTGTTTCCTGTTCCCCGCTTTCGAGGTCGATATTCCTGCGCGCGCGCGTGCGCGCCCGATTCCCGCGCCCGCATCTGGAGGAGCAGCTTGGTGCACTCGGGGCCAAAGAGTTGACGAAGACGCGCTAACCTGAGAGTTTAGGAAAAGGATGGGAAAAGTCCTCTCAGGCACCTGGATTGAGTAATGCCATTATTGTGATTGTTATGTAATGATTGTTTTCTCAAGTGAGAAAAACATCATGACGAAAAAATCATCTCAGGCGAGACGAGTTGAACAACTTCTCGAGGCACACCCTCCTTCCATCACCGCCCCATCAGGCTTCAAGTAGGTGTTGCCCCCCCCGAAGGTGGTAGACGGACGGAGCGTGGACCCGGGCGGCAAGACCAAGTCGTGACCTCCAAAACCCGCTTTCGGTGACCTCATGAGTGTGTTCGATGAACAAACTGCGGCATGGGGGTTCACCATCAAAAAATTGCAAAATACCAAAGATTCACCTTAGTCATATCCAAGCAAGCATCAGGAAACCTTCACTTCAAATGCATGGTTCCCTTGAAGATGGTCATGATGGTGAATCCATGCAATTAAGATTCTTGTTGCCTTCAAGAATTCCTCACATGCTCCCTGGACCTCACGACTGCTAGAAAGAGATGAGATGTGTTAAGCCTGTTAAACCTCAGACTTTTGTCGGCGAAACCTGCGTATTGTTGGATAGCTAATGATCCTGATGATGCCCACTCGGTGTCCCTGGCGGCAAGACCCGGTGCAAAAGGAAGATCCGCACCAAGTCCTCAGCAAAAGAAGCACTTCAAGGGCAAAGAGGATCTTTGGGCAAAACATGGGGTGCCGCTGGTTCGCAATTTCCGAGAGTCTGTCACAGAAATCTATAATTGCATATACAATATTCTATTCAATCCAGGATGTCATTTTCTATGTCATTCTATATATATACAGTAATCATGATCGCAGTTCTCTCAGGTCTGTTCATGTATTTTCTATAGGGCAATTGGAGGGCTGGACAGCCAACATGTTTTGCATGCTACTTTGATCTATTGGGCAGTGAACTATACAGTACTGACCCGCAGCCATGTTGTTGAAGCCCGGGAACTGGTTGCTTAACGCCAGAATAGAATCTTGGACGGGAACGGATCAACAAATCTCTCAAACATGAATAAATTGCATTTCTAAACCAACATTTGACCAAATGTGTCAACAAACCGTCAGACTCAAAGCCCACCTTAAGAACCGTTTGGATCTGTTTCTCCACCCCTCCCAGCACCATCCACCCCAAGTGGCCACCAAGTCGACCGGGATCTTGGGCCGCGAGTCCTGGCGGGGGTACGGGGGTAAGGGGGACGTATCACCTTCAAAGTAAAGGATGTCTCTGGTAATTTGCTGTGTTGTTGTTGGTATGTCTGGTATATCTCTGGATCTCGTATCATCTGGTAGATTTCGTTTGGATATTTGGGATATATAAACTATCTCTGGTATATCAATTTATTGTCATTGAGCTTGGCATTATGCCACTAAGAAAAAATGCTACACTTGATCAAAGCAGGTAGAAACCATGGTTTATCTATCACCTGGTCATTCCATCAGATCAACATAGATCAATCCTTCTGAACTTCCTTCAAACGCACCAAACCTTCAACCCGTCCTGCTCTGTCATCTCCTTGCTGGTCAGACCGCGCGTGCCTCGGCAGCCTGGCGGTGCCAAGGGCATGTGAGACAGTTCTGGTTGTTGCAACTGAAACCCACTTTTGAGGCTGGGACTGGGGAGTTCCATCCATTTGTCTGTATGGTCTGTGGTCGTTCGCATTGGTCATCCACCTTCCATGTTCCACGCGGCTTGCTTTGTCCCAAAGATCTCCTATCTCCGCGCTCGCTTTTCTGCATCTTTCGCAGTCGGGCAATTGGAGCATTGGCGGTTGTTCATCGCTGCTGGGCTTCTTTTCCGTCCCTGCAACGCACTGAGACTGCTTTGTCTCGGTGCTTTAAGAGTTAAAGGCCTTCTGTGTTCACTGAGACCATCCGAAAATCCACCCAATGGCACAGGATGTCCTTCTGTTTCCTTCCAATTGGTGTTTCTGGAATGGGTGGAATGTAAATCTCATGTCTATCCATGTTCATTCTACATCCATGAGAAGCATATTCACACCCTGCGAGAAGTCATAGGCATTTCTCAAAGAAGTCGGCATCATCACCATCTGCCGCTGCCAGTGCGGAAAGGAGGCTTACGTCAATCGTGAAGTTCGATGAAATCGAAGTTGGGCAATGGTGCTGGTGAAGCACCTTCACCTGACGCACTGTGCAACGCAACAGACGCAAGATCGGTTCTTTATTTCGCAAAATGGGTGCGTGCCTGCGCCACAAGGACAAGACCCACACCATGATGAGATACAAAGACTCGACAAGCATGTCTTTTTCATTGCTGAACAACATGGACCCCCAAGGCCCACCGTGGAACAGGAACCCCAGGGTCCAGGGTTGAAAGGTTTTATGTATTTTTTGGGGGGCTAAATCATGTTCAAAAGGTCACCCTTTGCCAGCTCTTCCTCGAAGTCCAGGGGACTGGACGAACGCGAGGCAACGCGTGGTTCAACAGGTGAAGGGGTCGACTTGAGTCGGAGAACTATGCATTTGGAGTCCGTCCATGTCCATGTTCTTGCGCATTCTGCGCATGTGGTCCACAACCTTCTAGAAGAGGTGTTGTTGGGAGAGGAGAACTTCCACGCACATCCTGTCTATAGTTACTATCCCTAGGGCTCCGAAAGGTATTTGGACATCTTTGGACCCTCCATTCACCCACCCCACTCCCACCTTCTCAGGATGTACGACTGGAGCCCTAGCCAGGGTCTAGTCAAGGATTCGATTCCGTCGTCCTGTGCACGTGAAAACACGACGCGTCCGCGGCAACCCCAAACCCGACGCGTCCGAGAATAGGCAATCGATGTTCGTATACGCCGTCCCAAGCAATGAGGGCCAAAAGGGGACATCGACCCAAAAGTACCCCATATCTACCAAGACTATCGATCGGTTTTCCGATCCAAACCTCCATGGCTGTCCGCCGAGGCACCCATTCCACGCCCTCCAAAGCGCACAAGGCCGTCCAAAGCGAGGCGTCGAGCCGCCGGAGCTTCGTGAGGTCCTCCGCCGCTGCGGGCGACGCCAGGGTGCGACGGTCCGGCGACGCCACGGTCCGTGAGTTCACCGTCCGTGAGCCCTGTCCGTGAGTTCAGCATTGAAAACCCAAACGTATCCATATAGAGAATCCATGAGCGTCCAGGCGGAATTGAAAAGTAGACGGTTTCCAGGTTTTGCAGAGTGAGGATGCGGATCCTTTCCCTCAAGGCCGTTGATGAGTCTGTGGTCCCACCCACCCCAAATGAAAAAACAAGAATGAACTAATATATACTTAGAGCTTTAGATGCGCAATACATTCAATTAGTTGCAAAAGATTGAAATGGAAGCTACATGACTTTGAGGGGACACACCAATGCACCATTGAAAGAGAGGTACTATATCTTGAAAATTCAACACTGCCTTTGGTTTGGTGATCAACAAAAAATCAAGTCCAGGCGTCAATGCGCGTAAGGCACGTAAGGACAGTTGATCTTGAGGTGAGAAAGGCCGTGACCCGTGGCAGTGGGTCTTCCTGGCGTTCGTCGCAGCGATGGGAGACTTTGTACGACGTGAATGCTGCATGCTGTGACTTGCATCGAATCATACCCTGTTTGGAGCATCCAGTGCGTGTTGGGCTTTAAACGGTGTAAACGCAATGAATAATGAAGTCAAATGATCGACTTCAGTCGTGAGAATCGAGCTCCCAAACGCCACCAATGCGACTACAGTCCTATGGCCTACATTCACCACCAGTCATGTAATTAGGCCAATAAGACCGCAAGCAGTCTGGAGTCTGAGGCTCACTTAGCCCAAGCCTTGTCGCCGGCAAAGTCCATGGGTCGAACTACGAACTCTGGCTTACACAAGCCACGTAGGTGGATTTGGACGTGCTTCTGGAAAGCCGCACTGAGGCTCATGCACTTGACAAAGTCGACAATCCGCAAGCTCTCCAGGATGTACCTTGGTGAAGCAAAGTGCTTACCAACTGCGCTATCTATAGGTCTCAGGCTGTAATATGTCCTTGATTGACATCTTCAACACAGAGCATTCGTATTTCCATCTTTTGGGCCTAGCCACTCTACATGCTGCCCCTGCAACGGCCCCAACAAGCTGCCACTCTCCCCCTCGCTCACGGCCATCCGTGCGGTCAACGACAACGGCGCAGCGAACGGCTTCGCTGCGAGGCTTCGGAGACCTGACCGCAGCTCCGCCGCGGGGAGGCAAAGCTTCTGGCGCCACGCGCCGTCACCTGACGCCGTTGGAAAGCAAACCAAGTCACCAGACCTGACCCCGTTGCAGCCTTGAGGGAGGGACACAAATCCTTGTTTTTCAGACGTGTTGCGACCCGGCGGAACCACATGTTGCCCCCAAAATCGCTGATGCGTTGTATTATCCAAATAGGAACTTTGAGATGCCAAGTTTGTTTGGTGTGGTCAGAAACCAACTAGAACAGCAGTGCGTGACTCAAAGCAGCTGACTGGTCAATGCAGCAGCAATGCATTTGGAATTGCTTTCCTCAGGATCGGCTGCGATGTCCTTCAGCAGAAACTCCATCCTAAGGTGGTGAAGGTTCGAGGTTGAGACTTCATGGCGTTGCAAACGGGAACTCTTAGGTCGTATGTAGAACCTGAGTGACCTCTATGACTGTTGAATCACCAACCAGACCACGCAAAGTAATGTCAAATCCTGGGTCATGTCTGGACTCTATTCCAGACACGACCGCCATTTGGGACTGCCAATCCGGACTGCCGCCCCAGACAGACCCCCAGTCTGGCCCACCCCACTCGGCCGTGCCACGAAACGGCAGTCCGTCCCAGTCCGTCCCAAATGGCGGTCGTGTCGTATAGGTCGACCGACCTTCTGACCGATCCGATGATCTGATCACCAAGCGAAGCAAACAATCGACCGGAAGCCCAAAAGCATGCGGACAGACCGGCACACGAACAGTGGTTCTGGCACCACCGGATTGCATTGCATAGTTCAACAAGAAGATTCAGGATGTTATGCGTTATGTGTACCTTCAACGCTACTGTTGTCTTTCCCGTTTCACAACAGCTTTGCCATTGCCCATCTCCAATCCTCGCGCTCTCACAGCTGAGCTTCATGGCCAGTTGTCCCGCCTTTCCACTCAACCTGCGCTGAAGCGAAGCTTCGGGCTCGAGGCTTCGGGCCAACGGGGCCAAAGGAACTTCAACAACTGGATCAGGCGCCTGCTTTCCCAGCTTGCCTCAGATGGGCCAAACGCGACACAACGCGGGACGCCACCGGAATGGGACGTCTTCTCTGGCTGCCACGTCTTCTTAAGACATCCGTCCGCTGGGCGTGTCGAGCTTCGATTGTCTTCTGGGGTCTTAACTTCTGATCCCTACACTGGCCCTACAGGTCAATGACCTCATGAAATACTGGAGGAGGTAAAAGACCAGGTTTTACTGGGTCTTTGGACTTCTGGCGGATGCTTCTAATCTTCGAGGGCCTTCTCGAAAGCCATCCGGCAAATGGGGAAGATCACTTGGTCACGCCTGCGCTTCGGCTGTGATCTTGCAGCCCAGCAGCGAATCTTCACAGATGGCCTGGATTGCAGCGTGTCCACCTGGCACAGAGGTCGAAGCACAATGCCAAACGTCCCGGAACTTGTGTTAATGGTTCTTTGGGACGACCGGTTGGTCCAAACCGATCTATATGTTGGCTCCTGAAATCAGCTACAAGTGGCTGCGGACGGTGTTCCCAAGCCAATATACCCATTCACTCCTCGGAAGCCACGTCAACCCAACGTTGATCCCCCGAAACGCCTGAAAAATATCATCACAAGCTTGTCATACACGTGAGGTCCACATTGTTCGTTTCACCTCTCCAAACCACATCTTCCACCTTTCTTTTCCACCTTTCGACGCTCCGTCGTTCACGACGGCGTGAGAATGGGTCCCAAACCTGGGCAAGGCACGGATCTCTGCAGGTAGCCACGCAGCTCTGCGCGGCGCTCCCTCTGCAGCTCCGCGACCGGCGCTCGGCGCCGCAGCTGGGCCCAGTGTCGCTTCAAGTCCACCGATTCGGAGGCCTCCAGGTGGATAAGAGGTCGGTTGACCGCCCATGGCTGGCAGAACTGGTGGATTTCTTGGGGGGGTCGAAGTTCACATGGTCTCTTAAACCGCCAAGTTCGAGTAAAGTTCAACCCTTTTGCTCGGTGTTAACCTATACAGCAACCACTGAAGCCCAAGGCTTGCCTGCTGCCCTTCTTCCCGGAAGCGCAAGGCCAGGTCCAGATCATCCACCAAAGGCGTCCACAGGTCTTTGAAATTGCAACGAAATTTCAGGGGACACATGGTCCCCTGCGCCTGCATTTCTTTGAGCGCTTGCTTGACTGTGGCGCCAAGAGGTCGCGTTGGATTGGAAGCAATGGCTTCAACCATGCGGCTCTTGCATTCCACCACCACCGTGTGGTAGAACACCGCCACGGCGCGGTGCCGCGTCGTTGGCGTGACGATTTGGAGGCCCTGCATTCTCATGTCTGCTTGGTAGGTGCCATTGGCCCGATGGTAAAGATGCTGCGTGCGGGGCAAAGGCTCTTCGTCTTTCTCGCCCGCCGTCTGCGCACGCCGAGAGGTGCCCGGTTCAGCTCCCAAGACCTGCAGCAGCCTACGGAGTTCGGAATGCCCAAGTTCCACGCACCAAAACCTGTTGCCCCATCTCATGACTCGGTATGACCCACGGAGACAGGGCTTCTTCGCAAAGAATGTGTTTTTCGAAAACAACCATGTTGAAGAAGTGAAGTGTCAACATCTCCGCGCTTCCAACATCCCGCCTCTTCAGCTGCACCTCAGACATTTTGTCCAGCATCTGAGGCCATTGGGTAGTGTCGCAAACGAGCAGGGTCAAAACCATCTCCTCCGGGTAGTCGCTCAGAGTGTGGTTTGCCTGCGGCTCGTCCTGAGTGGCACATTGCAACTCCTCACCATCCGTGGCGCCGTGCTCGAAGAGCGACAGGTGGTATGCATGCCTCACAGGTGGTACGAGCGCCGGATCGGTTATGCTCCTCATGGCGTGGCCACCACGCCTGTTCCGAGACCCCCGGACCCGGAACGGCCACGCCCGGCCGGACGGTCAGACCGGACGGTCTTACCGTCTTTCGGTCCGGTCGAGAGGAACCCCAGTGTCATGACCACACGGTGGTAGAAATCCACAGTGGTTCGTTCGATCCATGAAAGGACATCCACACTGCACGGTGCCAAGGCCTAGCACTTCCAATGGGTGCCCTGTCTGGAGACGGAGACCTAGGCCGGTAGCGTAGGGTTGGTGACCCATGGTGACCCGTTGGTTTCGCACCTGGTGGAAAGGTTTCGGAAGATGGACATTTCACCGCTGCATCCGTTGCCGCTCCATCCATTTCACCGCGGTTCACCCGTTGAAACATCACCACCAAACGCATGTGGCGACCGAATTCACAGCCGCCGATCTCTGAGGATTGCCGCAGGATTGATGACAAGGCAAACACACCCCAAAAGCGAATTTGTTGTGCCAGGACCTTCCTTTCGGGGTGTCTACAATGGTCTATAATATAGCTCTTAGAGGTGATTTGGGGTGTCCAAAAACCATCTGTTCGAAGGTCCTGGTAACGACCCGGCCTGCTTTGGGGGTTGCTCAGCGTCTCATATGCGGACGCCAAGCGCTGGAAGTCTTCGCAGCCTCTCAGCTTGTCCTTGTCAGGATGAACTTCCAACGCTTTACCTGGCATCATGCAGTGAGAACATCGAAACCGTCGGTTGCTATATCAGGTGCACTCCTTGCAGGTTCAAGGTTCAATAACTGATTTTCAACTGAGAGATAGGCGTCTTAGGGCATCTTGATCTCCCCAAAGGCTCATTGGACCCTCATAGCCAGGGTTATGGACCTCAAACATGTAGCAGTTTGAGGGTCCATGAGCCTCTGGGTCATAGGGATCCATGACATGAATTCTTTTAGTACCGGTCCGTGGATCCTCCTGCACAAGTCCGTGGGCTCTTGTGGTGACAAACCAGCATGCCCTTCAAAGAAACTTGGTCCAGTCGTTCTGGGAAAGGAAAACCTAACTACCAGGACCTTCCAAGCCCGGTGATTTTGGGGCACCTCGAATCACTTCTAATATAGACACCTCTTGGATGGTCCTGGTTTATGATTTTAAGATACAATACTATAAGCCCATTATACAGGTGCCCAGAACATCCACTCCTTTGTGGCTTCTGCTTGATCCTTTCGGGCGGACGAGCTGCTGCGATACGCCTCGATGACCTGCCGCTGCGTGGCGCTTCTCGTCAGCCCAAGGATGGCCTCAGCGATCCGTCTGGGCGACAACAGGAGAGGATGCCTCGTACAAAAGAGACGCAGCCAAAAGGCGGATCGTGGGAGAAATCCTGAAACAGGTGCACGAGGCGCATTCTCAACTGAAACTTGCATATGTTACCTATATAATCCTATATATATATGTATACCTATAGAGCCTGAGTGACCTCTATTTTGGAGGATCAACTATCCAAAATATGGTCTTTTCCTATCAAAACAGAGGTCACTCAGGCTCCAGGTATATATACCCTGGGAGTCAAAGACTATAATAAGAATGGTCTTTAGGGGACCTGAAAGGGAACTTCCTTTACTTCAGACAGTCAAAATATAGTCTTTGGACTTCTTGGTTTCTTTTTTATATACAGTATATTATATTAGGGCTCCACTTTAGGGGCACAAGGGGATTAGTTCTGAAAGGTTCTTAGACCCCCCTTTTGGGTTCTAAGACCTTCTGTGATCCAGGTGGTGGTTCTCTCAGAACGCAAAAGGTTCTGCGAGTGGTTCTGAGTACCCCTCCCTGAACTGCGGCTCCGCCCTGGTTCTCGTGAAGCCTGAAATTTGTGGATTTGAGATCTAAAGCCAGTGATGTCATCATCTCGAAGCTACAAACAGCATGGGCTTCAGCCGGCCGCACGTGTACAAAAATCACCAAACACCCCCGCCGTCGCGGAAACGGTCTTTGCAGGCTGGACAGAAAGTGCTGCCAGTTACAGTGGCAACACATATGCCGAACATACAGATTGATGGGTTTAACCTGGACATCTCAAAACCCCTAGGACATCTCAAACCCCTAGGACATCTCAAACCAGGTGAAGTGTTTGAACAGTCGGAAAACCCCTAGGACATCCACAGAACCGGTGAAAAATCACTTCATCTGGTCCATGGTCCAAGTGACGTAGCAATCCAGGCCATCTCCACTCGCACCAGCGCTGTTCGCCCGGCGTGTCGCGCGCATGGCGTCTTTGAGCTATGACTGGGACCAGTCGGGTGAGTGAATGGAGGCCCAGAATCTTCACCCAGAGTTCTCCGCGCTCCCTGCGAGCTCTCTGCGAGCGCGAGCGCCAATCGCGCCTGTGCACCCGTCTCCAGCCTTTTTTCGCTCGGCTTTGCGAACGATCCCAGTCTTCGCTCGGATCCGAGTCGACTCGCTTTTGGAGCCCGAATCGAGTGGACGGATTTGGAAGTGGCCAGTTCACTGGGTGTTGGGGATGTTTTGTGCAATCCGACTCATGGATGTTTAAACTATACCCTTGGCCCAGTGGTCTCATCGCTGCGAGGTTTCGCGTTTTCGCCTCAACTGATCTATCCCAGGTCGCATGTCTCATCCCACGTCCGACATCCGACCGATCTGGCGCTCCGGCATCCGACCTACGGGGGGGCCGCTGGGCCAGGCACCACTTGACGCCCTCATGGGGGTACTCGAAGTGGAACGCCACGTCATGGTGACGGCACCAGTCGAGAGGAGGACCAGACTGGTCGAGTCGAGAATGGAGTGTTTTGGCACGACCGGTGGACCGGTCATCAGTCACTGTTTGACGGATTTTACATGAAATGACTAGGTCTATAGTAGCAGGTCTTTATTAAAAGGCAACCAGAACTTGCACCTGGGGAACTTCTTTTGGAGGCCTTCAGTTTCCTCACAAAAGCGCAATAGCGTGGATGAAATGACTTCTGCATTGAAGCTAATATAATCACTCAAATTTGTTTGGTATTTGGAAAATGATCCGATTTCTTGAGGCCGGCCATTCCATCCCACGGCCAGGCCCGTTTTCAGGGAGCGTACACTCCGACGAACACATGGAAGTGGAAACCACATGAAACCACCCTGTTTGTAGAGGAACATAGTCTTCCCAAAGACCATGTTCCACTTCCATGTGTTCGTCGGAGTGTGGCGTGTTGAAATCGTGTCGTAAGCGTGAGTGTCTTTCACCCCTGCTTCTTTTTGGAGAAGGTCTTCGTGGCAAAAGACGCGTCCTGTCAACATGAGGCCACGAACCAAGGGAGGTGAACGAACCTTCTCTGCTCATGTCCAGGGAGATTCATTTTGAGTTATACGTGTTATACATCAATTTTTGTCATGATGCCATATCCTCAAGTTGGTCCAATCCCTCCTGCAATGCCACCATGGCGTTCAAAAGACAAAAATATGCTGCTGCAAATTGCAGCATTGAGCCGCCTTAAGCTGCTCAATCGGGATTCGCGCTGCCCGGCCGCCGGCCGTCTCGCCAAAGAAAGTCGAGTCAAGTCTCGACTTGAAGTCCGCAACTCAGTAGTAGTTCTCCGCCAAGGTGTCATAAGTATATGGCGTCCGTTCTGGTGAGGTCCAGTACAGCATCCTCAGGTGCATGTGCGGTGCATGTGCCGTGCTCTTCCCGACGCCGCGACCGCACAAGCTCCCGGCCTAAGGGATCCAGGTCGACGAATCCATGGGCCTAAAGAGCCCTAAGGATCCAAGTATCTTCTCAGAATAGCGGTGTCTCCAATGACCTGCTGAGAAGGTGCGACTGGATCCTTAGGGGGTGAGCCAAAGAAACCAATAACTGTTTGGAAGGGTCTCAACTGCAAGAAGGGACTGCATGGCCTCGGGCACATGTTTTCAGCTCCAACCGACATGTAAAAACGTTAGGAACTCTTTTCTGGAGTGGGCGTAAGAAGAGATCGGCCGTCAGAGAGATCGGCCTGATCGCTCACGTGTCTCGTGTCGCTTTGATACCCTACAGGTCAGTCTGACCTCCATTTTACTGGGTCGTTGGTCATACAAAAACACCATTCAAGCACGCAGGTCGCAGGTCGCCAACGACCTGGTTTGGACCTGCATCATTGGACTTGTCGATAGAAACCATGGAGTGACACCACGGACCTGTGGCGTTGTGGCATGACACCCTGTCGCCGCACCGCACCTCCGACAAGTGCACGCCAAGCAAGAGCCACACGTGTGCTTTCGTGTCCAACCAAAACCAACAACCTGCAGGTGTGGAAAGACGACCAGTCTCCGCTCAGCCAGTAAAAGCGCTTCTGAAGCGAAGATCATCACCAAACCCAGACACGACTGATGAGGACTGCTGCCCCATTGACCCCTCTTTCACCACGCCTACCTGATCGGCAGTCCTATGACAGTTTCATGGGTCGTGTCATCACCAAGCGAGGAAGGTTCGAGACTGGAAGTTTCTGTACCAAAGTGACTCATGCTGAGAACATCTGAAACATGAGTCACTTCGGATTGTCTTCTGTGCAAATGATCATGAATAGGTGCATCCGTCGGATAACAAGCCGATTAAACAACAATTTCACAGGCATTCCCCAGCATCCTGAAGTATCTCGAAAGAATGTTGAGGAAATCCAAGCAAAGCAACAGTCCCCAAATATCACACAGAAAGGACTGCACAAGATTATGATATTTACCTTATGGCTCCAAGTCGTACCTCCTCAAATGGTATGACTAGTGTATGACTGGACCCTCCTGGCACCCACCCCAGTCCCACCTTCTCAGAGGGTACTTGGAGCCGAATCGAAACTCTGACGCCTTCCCATGCCATGGCCCACCCCAAGCCGGCTGAGCATCTCTTTGTGCGTGTAGCCTTTCTCCCCACCATCCTTGGTTGGGCGACCAGCAGCATGAAAGCGGCAGCCGACAGATTCGGACGTAGGCGGCCAGGAGCCCCAACGAGAAGAATGGCTCTCCTACAGCCGGTATCGAGCGATGTTCGATGCTAGGCCATTGACCAGCGGAGAAAAGCTAAGGGTCCATGTTTGATGATCTGTGGAGTGGAGTAGATCAACTCCATCATCTGAATCATCTGCACGAGACTTTATGGTCACTATTATAGTCTTTCTTGATCTACATGATCATCCATGGTGGGTTATTCTGACATGCAACGCCCATGAGAATTCAGGGTCCAAACCCCGGCGTTGGAACGGCGTGGAGGCCATCAGCTGAGCGATCCACACTGTCCCCCCGTGCAAAACAACCGAATCTCCCGACACGAACGCACAAGCATGCAAACTCCTGCATCATCTGTGGGACAAACATGTTTTTATGCACCACGGAGCTTTTAATACTTTCCATACAAAATATGTAGAGACACCTGAAAATGCAATCATGAACAAAAGACATGACATGTTGTTCTCTTCCTTTTTGAGGGAGGGGTTCCCGCACACCGAAGACCTACGTGCCGGGCGTGTCCCGAGGTGAGTAACCATCGGAACTGCACCGCGCCGAGCGTCGCAGGAGATGCCGGGTGGGGCCGATTTGGCCTCCTCGCCGTCGCAGTCGAAGAGATCCTTGAAGGCAAAACCACCTCGGACGAGGCTGAGGCGGTGTTGGGCTCGTGTACCGCCCCAATGCCTCTTGCACCGCCTTTTGGCTGGTTTTATCAACAAGGCAGAGATGAGAAGGTGGCCGAAAGCTTGCGGATAGTACTAAGATCTTAACCCAAATAAATGAATTCTGGTTCATGATAGGAGTGATTTTCTGGTAATTAGAATCATTCTAAATCAGATTCTTTTTTGCTCTTCTTCACCCAAATTCATGAATCGATGAAGGACTCTGTGCGAAAAACTTCAGGGCCCAAGCCTCTGCGGCTGACGCGGCTCAAGCACTTCACACTTCTGTCCATTTCAGTCGGCCGGGGCGCGGGTTTCGGGGCGAGAACTCATTCGTCTGTCTCCAACAAAACACCGTCTAGACCCGGCAAACGATGTTCTTTCATACCAGTTTCCATTGTGGTCCGTCAGTTTCTATGGTCTCTTTCAGGGTGTCAATGTCTCCAAGCCTTTGAGCACCCCTTTTAAGTCCCGGACTTCATGTGCCGGGTCAAACCCTTCCGTGCCGGGTCTTTCACGTTCCCGTCCGCCGTGCCTGGGACATCTCCCGACGTCCCGTGGGCGCCCGACGGGTCCAAGGGCCGGAGCTCGTTCCGAGCGACTGTTCACCACCTCGTCGAGCAAGGTGCCAGGGAGATAGGGCGATTCACCGAAGTGATACTCGTCATAAGCGCCTCCCATCCCGCGTGCGCAGGCGTAAAAAGGGACGTGTGCCGCCGCCGCGCGGTACCGGGGAGAGGTGTGCTGGGATCAGGTGTATCAAGATATGGAGATGCACCATGTGTCGATTCCTGGTTTCTTGGAGAGGATAGGATTTAGATAGGATGGATAGGTGCATGTAAGTGGAACATGGTGGAATACACCGCCAAGAGTCTCGAAGGCTTATTGCCTTGAAATTGAAACCCTAAGTGTTGCCTTCAAAATCATCCAATATGAATGGGGAACATGTGACATCACCAGCACCTTCAGCAACTCCGGAACCACCTCCAGCACCGCGAGAAGAAGCTTTCAGACTTCACTCGGGAGCCGGCCCCGGCAGGGGTTCTTGATCACGTGTCGTCTTTCCAGCGGCTCGGGTCTCGTCACGCGAAGTACTCACGCGAAGTACCCACGACGGTTTGCACACTCCCCACAACATCCTCAACGTCGTTCACGTCGTTTTTTTCGGCAACAACGTCATGGGATTCGCACGGATTCAAAGCTCGTATTCGTACCGGTGCCATGGTACTGTTGTTGCTGCAGGCCATCACATCGTAGATGGCAAAGGGGCCTGGGCCACATGAATGATCTTATGCCTCTCCAGCATGAGTCCAGCTGAAAATCCTCATGGCTCTGGTTGTATCTGTTTTGTCGGTTGCTCATGTCACTACAGAATGTCCATGTTCACAGGTTGCATCTTTGCACGTTTGTGTCATATTTGGTCTCCACTATATAAGGAACCAAGGATTCTAGGTCGTTATAGTCTTTGGAACCACTGGTTACCAGCTATAGTGGTAACTGGATGCCCTGGGTTATCCTTGTTCTCACTTGGAAGAAACTCAGCTGTCGTTCCATATTCTGCCATGGAACCCTTGCCATCACAGCCCAGGCCCATCACCATGCTTTCGTCTACCCGCCACGCACCCTTCGCCA